AACAAGGAGCCTGATGTGGGACTCAATCCCAGGACCCTGGGATCATGACCTGAGCTGAAGGCAGTGACTTAACCAACTGAACCACCCAGGTGTCCCCAGGGTAAACTTTTACTAATATTCAGAGACTTCAGAGTTTCATAATTAGTCTTGTTCATATAATATGAGGGAATAGTTATGGGAATGATTCTAACTAGTTGGCACATATATAAGCTGAAACAGTACTTCTCAACTCTGCTGCCACATGATCCCTAGAGGGGGAGGTTTTTAAAACACTGATGAACATGACTTATCCCAAGATATTCTAATTAAACTCTTCTGGATAGGACCTGAGTATCAGTAATTTAAAAATAATTCCTGGGATGATCCAAACTGGAGCCAGATTTGAGAACCGCAGAATTAGACATTTTAGAGGGGCCTTGTGGATTGGATTCATAGTTGAAATTATGTGACTTTTATGTTTTCCTCCAACATTGAAAACTGAGAAAACAACCTTTCTGAGGGAATCTGTATATTGAGGAGTTGTCCCTTCTTTACACCCTTATATATAAATAAATAATGAAAATAACTCAGAGCATAAAGTTTTTAATTGCTTTTATTTGATAAAAGCATGACTTGAACAAAATAAAATTTTCTTTTTCTCAGTCTTCTATATTTATAGTCATCTACGCAAATATGCTATTATTTATAAACCTATTCAGGGATTATGTTTATTACAGCAAGTGACATGTTGGTAGAACTTAGTAAATGTCATGTCTGCAATAATATGGCAATCAGATATCATTTGACAAGCATTGCCTAAAAGGATAAGCATTGCCTAAAAGAGATCTGGTATAAGGGAAAGAATAGGAAAGCCCCACCATAATCCAGGTAGAATCATTTTCCTGACTTTCTGTAGGAATGCTATTATCACCTAAAGTGGATTTGATGAAGAGGCTTCCAAAGATTATGGTCTTTATGTATCCAAAATAAAAAGAAAATTAAAAGCAATATTTTTAGAAACCTTGCTGTAATGATTACACCATTCCTCCACAGAGGATGGGGATTTCATTTTAAAATTGCAGCAATTGTTACTTTCTCGTATGTGATTTTACCTAATTGTATAAGTGGACTATGTTTTTGTACAAGATTATTATCATTAGTGTGACAAGTTTCTTTCCAAGTTTCAGTTTATGAGGAATTTACTAGTAAAATCTATTGTTTTTTTAATTCTTTGGTCTTTTTAAAAGTGTTAATCAACACTGTGACAAGGCTTTACATGAATACCATTTTCTTTTAACATTTGGATAATTACCAGAAACGATTTAATTAAAATTTAAGAAGAAACCAACACATTGTGATCTACATTGCAATAATCATTAAAAGTTAGTGTCAAAGGCAAAATATTACTCATCATTCTTGCCACTGTCATTTGAAAAGGAGGGTAAGGTATTCAATATGCTGATATCTTGAGGACACATTTTTACTGGGTCTTTTTTCATGTCTCCTAACCATCCCAGGTATGTTGGTATAATAACATAATAATTTAAATGATATCAAATGTGAAATAAAATGAAAATTTAACTTACAAAGACAGTAGTTTTCAAACAAAAATAAAAACAGAAACAGAAATAAACAAGCCCACTCAAATTTTAACAAATTTCAAATTTCCTGATAATGTTAAACTCATAGAGTCTCGGGCCAAATGTGACTTAGAGAAGTTGTCTGTCTTCATTCCTTATATTCACATTGTTAAAACATTATTATGTTTTAATTTCTTATTTTTTTCACCCTCACTCACAAAATACTAGCAATTTCTTTTGACTAATCTAATCCCTAATCTCTTTTAATCTTCTTCCCACTGCCATTATAATTCTTTCTTGATACAGCAGGGTTAACATATGAAAAATAAGGACTCAAATAATTGATTGCTCCTTTTATAGGTTCTGATGTTGAATTGATCTTTGACAAAGAAGCAAAGACAATTCAATGGAGAATTTTTTCTCAATAAATAAATAAATAATGCTGGAACAACCATATATTCACATGCAAATAAAAATAATCCATGAAAGAGAAAATTTATACACTGGACTCCATTAAAATTAAAATTTTTATTCTGCAAAAGATACAGAAATGAGAGAATGAAAAGAATCCACTGACTGGGAGAAAATCTTTGCAATACATATCTGGTAAGAGGACAGTATCTAAAATACACTAAAAATTCTTAAGAGTACTTACTCTTTAAGAATAAGAGTAATAAATTAAACAATCCAATTAAAAAGTGAACACAATATTTGAACAGACATCTCGCTAAGAAAAAAATACAGATGGCATATGCTTACAAAAAGATGATCAATATCATATGTCATCAGAGAATTTAAAATTAAAACAATAGTAAGACACCATTACACATTTATTAAAGAGGCTAAAATCCAAAACACTGAGAACACCAAATGCTGACAAGGTTATGGTGCAATAGCATTTATTGCTGGTGGGGATGCAAAATGGTACAGCCACTTTGGAACCCATTTTGACAGTTTCTTATGAAATTAAACATACGCTTAATTTACAATCTAGCAATTTCACTGCTTGTTATTTAATTAAACAAGTTGAGAACTTCTGTTCACCCATAAGCTTGCACAAGAATATTTATAGCAGTTTTATTTATAATTTCTAAAGCTTGGAGGTAACCAAGATGTTCTTCAATAAATAAATGGATAAATAAACTGTGGTACATCAAGACAATGGAATATTATTCAGCAATAAAAAAGAAATGAGTCATCATTCCGTGAAAAGACATGGAAGAAACTTAAAAGCATATTGCTAAGTGAAAGAAACCAAGCTGAAAAGTTTACATAATGTATGATTCTAACTATACGGCATTCTGGAAGAGGCGAAACTATGGAGATCGCAAAATGATTACTGATTGCTAGGGGTTCTGTGTAGGAGGAAGGGATGAATAGGTAGAGAACAGGATGCTTGGGCACATGAAACTATTCTGTATGACACTGTAGGGGGGGATCTACACCATTATACATTTATCAAAACACATAGATTATGCAACACAGAAAGTGAACCTGAATGTAAACTATGGAATTTAGTTAATGTAACAATTTTGGCTCATCAATTGTAACAAAGATAGCACATAATTCAAGATGTTAATAATAAGGAAAATTGTGTGGGTGGCAGGGGGAGTTGAGGGGTTATAGGAAAGCTCTGTACTTTCCACTCAATCTTTCTGTAAATCCCAAGCTGTTCTGAAGTCTATTAATTGTTTTGAAAAAAGTTCCTGATGGCTTTTTACTACTTTAGAACAAAATTGAAACTTTTCACTTTCCTTTAAGGTACTTCATGCTGTGCTTCCTATCTCTCTTTCTTACTTCATCTTCTATGGCATTTCACTTGTCCCAAATATCCTCCATTGTGTTAATCAGATATAATAAAACTTTCCAATTCAGGACTTCTACAATTGCTATCCCCTAGGTGATATTTTTACCATAAATCTTCACTCCTTCCCTTCATTCATATGCCTTTAAGTAAAACTTGAATTACCAATTCATCAGCAGTTCTTTTTGCACAGGACATCAGAGCAGATGATATGTTCTTATGTATGTTTCTCATGTTTCACTTACATAAGGATGAAATTTTATAAAACCAGGTGCCTCATTTGTCCTGTCTGTAACTGTCACTTTACAACTGTTTCACAGTCTATAAAAATGGCCATTATGTAATATTCATAAAACTAATACTTGAATCAATTAATTATTGCAATTTTTTAGGTGAGAAAAATAAGAAGTTGAAAGTTTGATGGCTTGCTAATGTCTATTCAGGTAGAATGTCAGAGGAAGGGAATCTTGTTTCCTACTGTCTCTCTGACCATCGGATGCTCCTCTATAATAGACCATGAGGCAACACAGCATAAGACAGTCCTACCATCACTGGCATAATTTTAGGGAAATAGAGTGGTAATCATGAAGGCTGGCATGAAGTTTTTGTCAATTAGGATGTAATAAAAGCTTAAGTAAGTCACAGTGAAGATGTTATTCAATAATATATATTAGATTCAAATGTATGGATTTTTCCTAAAATACACTGTGTGTTGATTTTCACTTACATACATTACATATCAAAACAGAATCCCATCATTATGGTCTACAAATACTAGATCTCCACGTTTATTGCTCTGGGTAATGAGCTTTTTCCTATAGCCTCCTAGGTCACCTCTAGTCTCTGATATCATTAGTTAAAATGTATTTTAACAAGAGAAATTAAATGCCCAGAATTTTTTGACCTGAGGATTGAATGGTGTTACATATCAATCAACAGATATTTGAGACCTCGTGTGGGTAAAGTTATTACACCCTGGGCTATACAACAGAATGAGAGGTTCATTTCTTTCTCAGGTTTATGCACATTTAGGGCCATTTATTTAATGTTACAGTGAGATCATAAATTCAAGGATAAAATATATAGTAAAATTATTAGATTCATTCTTAATTTGGTGGGTTTGAAAACTTTTCATATCATTTTTCTGTTCCCTTAGATTAAAGACCCAGAAATGCCCCTTTTAATAGGTCTAAAATAAATGAAAATTTGAGAGGGCATTTAATTAACTTTAAATAAGTGTTTTCAACAAAACTGAACTGTGCATAAATATAAAATATCAGCTTAATTGATATAATCATTTATAGCTAGATAATACATATAGTTAAATTATCATCTGTTACCTATATTATAATATAGTTCTGTTCCCCCAAGTAATTTAAGTTGATTTTATTGAGATAATAAACATTTATTGATGAAATGAGTGGCCTATTGTACATAGTGGCATACTATTTTAGATGCTTTAAAACTTGTTACTGCTCTAAATCTTCACAATGACATTTGAGTGTCATTGTCATTTCATTAACATTGCACATCATTTTATACTTCAATTAGGTAACTGCAGATCTTAATGAGATTTTAGTAGTAACAATATGCACTATCATAAAATTTGTGAGCTCGTATGGTAAAATTAAGGTCCAATGCTTGTATGGAGTTGTAAACTTCCTGAAACAGCTCAAGTAAATGGAGACTAGTGCCCATGGCTGACTTAAGGCAAAATTTATCTCATACAGTTTCATGCATTCTTTTTGGAGTCTCTGCTCCTTTCTGTACAATCAATTATCACGTCAGTACTTGAGCCACAGGGCACTTGATGTCCAGGGATTTCCTTTCAAGTTTAGAGGGATTGGTAATCCCTAAATAATCTAATCTATTTTCCTTAACTGTGTAAAAAGACACTGAAACTCAGAGAGGCTCTGATCAATGACATACAACTAAGGTGTTACAGAAATAGGTAGAGAAATGGGTTTTATTGATTCATATTGCCTGTGTATTTGAGTTGTGACTGTTTCAAATAAAAAGTAAATAATCTGTAACGTATTTTGGAAATTCACTGGCCAGAGGTCAAATGAATGAAAGTTTAAGATGTTAACTCCAATACCATTGTATAAGGGAGAGAAAGAAATATTCATGAGATCACTATCAGCAGTAATTATATAACACAAAGAAAGAAACTGGATGTTATGTGTTGGAAGTAATATGTGTATGTGGTGGGGGAGGTCACATGCTTTGCCAAGCCTCCATGTTACTCTATCGATATTAAATATTCATTGAAAACATCATATTACTTGACCCATCAATAACAATTGACAAAACTGATCACTCCCATCCTTAGTTTTCAGAACTTCATACATATTTGATTTTTCCTCTTACTTAAGTGGTTATTTCTATTTAATCTCCTTTGGTCTCTCCTCAATGCTTTCAATTCCAGATATTGGAGTGTCCAGGGCTCCATCCTTGGACTTACTCTCTCGGTGCTCACATTTAGTGTGGAACTCCTGATTGTTTCTGCCACCCAAATCTGTTCCACCCATTCATCTCAGTCACATGAAATATTATCTTTCTAGATGTTTCAACCAAAATCTTTGACATGATATTCAACTTTTCTCTTGGTTCTATAAATTACTTCCAATCTATTAGCAACAATAGATACAGATGCAGGCACCTCTTTGCTGTCACTAAAGCTCTCATGTTGGTCCAAGCTACAGATATCTCTTCCCTGCATTCATACATTGTTTCCCTGCATCTGCAATTACTTTCCTTTAGGCTGTTCTACACAATACATCTAAAGTTATTATATCATTCCTCCACTTAAAGCCCACCATTCATTTACTTACTTCTTCATCAACTATTCATTCTGCATTCGTTCATTGATTTAGTCATCAAATATTTTCACGTGGTAGACCCTCTTTAGATGCTTGGTATCTACCACTAAACAAGCAAAAGTGATGCCTGCCTTCGTAAGTTCACATTCAAGCAAGGAAGAAACATACAATAAACAACATATATGACTTAGAACATAAATTTTTAATTTTAGGAAAAATAGTAAATTAGATCATAGTAAGGGGGATCCAGAATGCTAGGTCTATAATGGTGGAAAGAGGCACAAGCAGGTTGCAGTATTAAAGTAGGTGGTTAGAGTAAGCCCCATGAGAAGGTGAGATTTGAGCACAGATTTGAGGAAGATAAAAACTAACATGTACATCTGGAGGAAGAGTGTTCTGGACAGAGGGAACAATAGCCACAAAGTCAAAAGTAGAAGCTACCTGGAGTGCCCTAATCATTTTGCTCCTGTAATACTACTCCTTAATACTTGTGTATTCTTCCCATGCTCCTATACAAGGGTCTTCATTTCTGGGGCTCCTTCTTCCTGGAATGTGCTTTTCAGGGTATTTGCAAGGCTCAAGTATGAAACTTTTTCATATCTTTGCTCAAATTTACCATCAGAGAGATCTTCCCCTGGCCGTATTATTTAAAACTGCAATTCCTCTTACCTGGCACTATCCATCTCCCTTCTCTGCTTTAATTTTGACAATTCTACTCAGCATAATCTATTGTACTATATAACTTATTTGTCTTATCTGTTGTGTATCTCTCAGTCCAAAGGAAAGGTGTGCTGTCTGGAGGAGAAGCCCGGGGACGGGGGCAAGCTGGCCCGAGCCTTGGGGAACTATGCCACCGTCATCTCCCACAACCCGGTGACCAAGAAGACCCGCGTGAAGCTGCCCTTGGGCTCAAAGAAGGTCATTTCTTCAGCCAACAGAGGTGTGGTCGGTGTGGTGGCCGGAGGTGGCCGCGTCGACAAGCCCATTCTGAAGGCTGGCCGTGCCTACCACAAGTACAAGGCAAAGAGGAATTGCTGGCCACGTGTGCGGGGAGTGGCCACGAACCCTGTGGAGCATCCTTTTGGAGGTGGCAACCACCAGCACATTGGCAAACCCTCCACTATCCGCAGAGATGCCCCTGCTGGCCACAAAGTGGGTCTTATTGCTGCCCGCCGGACTGGGCGTCTCCAGGGAACCAAGACTGTGCAGGAGAAGGAGAACTAGGGTTGAGGGGCTCAATAAAGTGTGTCCTTCTGCCACTAAAAAAAAAAAAAAAAAAAAAAAGTGCAGGGATTTTGTGTATTTTGCTTATTGTACTATCCCCAGCACCTAGAACAGCGCCTGGAACTACTTCTTTGGGCTACTCTATATTTTTTATTTTTTTTAATTTGCATTTATTTTTTAATTTATATTCTTTAAAATTTTAATTCCAGTATAATTAATATATTGTTATATTAGTTTTAGGTTTACACAATTATAGTGATTCAACAATTTTAAACATTACTCAGTGTTTGTCATGATAAGTATACTTTTATTTATTTATTTATTTATTTTAAAGATCTTATTTATTTATTTGAGAGAGAGACATTGAGAGACAGCATGAGTGAGGAGAAGGTCAAAGGGAGAAGCAGACTCCCCATGGAGCTGGGAGCCCGATGTGGGATTCAATCCCGGGACTCCGGGATTATGACCTGAGCTGAAGGCAGTCATCCAACCAACTGAGCCACCCAGGCATCCCGATAAGTATACTTTTAATTCCTTTCACCTATTTTACTCATTCCCCCACATGCCTCCCCTGTGGAAACCACCAGTTCTCTATAATTAGGAGTGTGTTTTTGGTTTGTCTCTTTTTTCTTTATTTGTTTTCTTTCTTAATTTTCACATGTAAGTGAAATCATATGGTATATTTCTTTCTCTGACTGACTTATTTCACTTTGGGGTGCTATTTTAATCTAGTGAATGGAAATAGCAAAGCATTGAATAAATATTTATTGAATGAAAAAATGGATGCTTGGGTGGTTCAGTCAGTTAAACATGTGCCTTAGGCTGGGGTCATGATCCCAGGACTTGGGATTGAGCTCTGAGTCAGGCTCCCAGCTCAGTGGAGAATCTGTTTCTCCCTCTCCCTTTGCCCCTCATCCCTGCTCCTGTGTATGCTCCCCACCTCTCTCTCTCTTTCAAATACATAGATAAAATATTTTTTAAAAAAATGGATGCTTATTTTAGAATCCCTAAATTCTCCACTAGCATTGCCCATTAAAATGGAATAAACAGATAAATACGATAGTTATGTAAGATACTAACATTAGAGGAGGCTAGGTTAAGGGTATACTGGACCCCAACTCATAAGGTTGGTTAAAGTCCTTGCATCTTTAAGTATTTAAATGGTAATATTGGATTTCTCACAAACTGTAGATCAGCTGGATGGGTAAAATATGACTTCTAAGAAGGGAGCTTCATGTCATTAAAGTGTATTGACTGGAATGCTGATCAAACATTTTTGAAAAGATGTTTAATATTTGGAGCTCTTGGGTGGCTCAGTCAGTTAAGTGTCTGCCTTCAGCTCAGGTCATGATCCCAGGGTCCTGGGGTTGAACTCTGCATTGGGGTCCCTGCTCAGGGGGAGTCTGTTTCTCCCTCTCCTTCTGCCACTGCCTCCTTCTTGTGCTATCTCAAATGCTATCTCTCTGTCTCAAATAAATAAATAAAATCTTTTAAAAAGAGATGTTTAATACTTTCTAAAAGTGGCTGCTATCTATAAACTGAACAAAAAAGTTCTGTCCAGCTCCCTTTACAAGTTTGAGACACTTTTTCCCCCCTAAAATTCTGTAGTTTTTTGGGTGGTATTTGTACTCTTAGTGAAGTACCAGCCTGCTTGGGTGGAAGGAAACCAGACATTCTGGAGTCCTTTGGCTTGGTACAGTCCAATCTGCCAGACTATGGGTTTCATGCTAGGACAGTACCTCTCAGAGAAGGTCACTTAACAACTGTGTGGTCATGGTAAAATAAGGGGTAATACTACAGATGGTATCCATTTTGATTTCTGTACATGGGTAAGTTAAGGATCAAACTTCATTCCTTTAAATCAGTTGTCCCAAGCCCAATTTTCTAAAAACACCCACCCTTTCTCCTATCAAATTATCTTGGCATCCTTGTCAAAAATCAATTGTTCAAAAAAAATAAATCAATTGTTCATACATGTAAAGGTTTATTTCTGGATTCTAAGTACTATGCCAGGACCATACTGTCTAGAACACTTTGCAGTAAGTTTTAAACTAAAGAATTATGAATATTCCAACTTTGTTCCTAGTTTTTAAGAATATTTTAGCAAAACTATGTCCCTTGTATTTCCACATAAATTTTAGAATAAACTTGCTAATTTCTGCTACAGATCTAGATTGGGTTTATTGAGGATTGTGTTGAATTTATAGATCAATTTGGGGAGTATTGCCATCTTAACAATATTAAGTCTCACAATATATGAACATGGGGTGCCTTTCCATTTATTTGGGTCTTTTTAAATTTCTTTCAACAATATTTTGTAATTTTCAGTGTGCAGATTTTATGCCATTCTTTAATTGATTCCTATGTATTTTATTCTTTCTGATGCTGTTGTTAAATTAATGATTCACTTAAATTTATTTTTGGGTTCTTCATTCCCAGTATATTGAAATATAACTAATTTTTATATGTTGATCTTGTATACTGCAACTCCTGGCCTTGTTTGTTAGAGATACTTTTAAGGGCAAAGTACAATGGGGAGTCAAACTTAACATATTTATGTTTCCTTAGTCTGAAATATTATGTTGTGAAAGCATGAAGACTGTGTCTAGCTATAGACATGGTGAGGCTGAATAATGCAAGAAGCCATGCCAGATACCTGTATCCTGAGATCTGGAGGACAAGGAGCCCCCTCCTGCAAGGTCTAAGGTAGTCCTTGAGAGAGACCAACCTCGTTGTTTCAAGTTAAAGTACAGAGTTGAAATACTGGTATGGAGGAAGGTGAGTTAAATAATTCCAGAATCAACAAAATTCCACAGCTATTAAAAGTAAACAAGACAAGGACCTGACTATATTAACTAATAAGTTGTAATAAAATTAATGACTATTGACCTAAATACACACACATAGATGATGATTTAGTATAAAACTAGTTTAAGATATTTTAAAATATAGGGTATCTGGGTGGCTCAGTGGGTTAAAGCCTCTGCCTTCAGCTCAGGTTATGATTCCAGGGTCATGGGATCAAGCCCCGCATTGGGCTCTCTGCTCAGCAGGGATCCTATTTCCTCCTCTCTCTCTGCCTGCCTCTCTGCCTACTTGTGATCTCTGTCTGTCAAATAAATAAATAAAATCTTAAAAAAAAAAGATATTTTAAAATATATTATATAGAAGGACAATTAATTCAATAGGTTATAAATCTTTATAACCTATCTCTTCTCTGCTCTAAATGACTCTGCCACTTATCAGTTCTTTGCTAAAGCATCAGGCATCTAGTGATATGTTCTCCTATACTTTCCCTTATTCATTAGTCTTCAAACTCTTAAGAGAGAAAATCTTTTTTCAAAATTATTTTTCAGAAACCCATACTCAAAATACATAAAAACTGATTGAATTGAGAAGTAACTAAAATTGTATACTTCTATATATAAATGCCCTGTTAGCAGTGTTATCTATGACATTTGAGAAGCAACAGAGATATCACATTTAAAGAACATAAATTTTATTGTCATAAAGACATTGTTTCAATCTATTGGAACAAAAATATCTATATATTATTTCTATAATAAAAATACATTTTGAAAAACACTATAATATAGTGTGGTAAGTATTATAAAATGAACAGACATACAAGGTGTCATGGAAAAGCAAAAACAAGAGTATCCATGTCAGTCTTGAAGTTTACCACAAGCAACATATATATCGTGGCCTGATGGCTAAGAAGTAATTTGTCAGGTAATTCCTCTGTGGAGGAAATAGCTGCGCTTTATCTCGTAGTCCATGATCACTTCTGCCGAGGTATTCTCTTAACACCACTTCTTTGGAAAAAATCTGTATTGTATTTCTTCCAAGGAATTGCAGTTGGAACTGGCTGCCAAATAGAGACAGTATGACTATAGCCCTTTTAATCCCTTCCTGAACCTCACCCAGCTCAGTTCCAATCCCCTCTATTTTCTCTCAGCTTGGCAAAATCCTGGAGTTATGGAGATAATTTCAAATATTGAAGAAATTAAAAATAACTATCTAGAACATCGAGAAACAGTCAACTGTCAAGATATATGGCTCAGAGGCTAAGTGGGGAACTGAACAGAAAAGTAAGGGATTGGACATTTCTTAAGGAGAAAGAGTAAGATTTTTGAATGGTTCAAACAGGAAAATGTCATCATATCATATTAATGTCCTTAAAAGATACTCAGAACATATAGCTGTTTAACAGACTGTAGCAAGGAGAGAAGATGGTAAATAATTTGAGTTATACAATTTACTATGGGAGAAAAAAGGGTAATTTTAAGAAGAAAAATTGTAAGTCAGTTGAAGTGAAAAATATAGATATTAGTAAAAGGAAGCAAAAAGGACCCACCAGTTCTCTATAGGATACAAGAATAAGGTAAATTTGTCCTTAGACACAGTGATAGATTGATCTGGGTGACCATAAATATTGGTTGTCTAGAACTGCGCAAACCACTAATAATAAGAATAAAGTGAGTATAATTATCCCCTTTAAGACTTTTAAAATTGTATTTTTATGCAAATTTGACATTTACCCCGATACCTTACATACTCCTAAATCCGTTGGAGTTTTCAGAGATTTGTGATTTTTATTCTAAGAAATTATTGCCTACATCAATGAACTGCCACTTCTCAAAGACTACATTAAATTCCAATCAAAAGGCTGGGGCAGTAGAATTACCAATATGGTATTTTAAATGATAATCATAGATAGTATCTTCATATGCAGTGAATAGAGTTACTGGATTATATAATTTAAAAGTATAAAAATAATGATAAATTTAAAATTTGCCAAATGACATAAGAAAATAACATGAATATTGAAATATTACTTTTATCAGTAATTCTGCTTCTTTGATTATAAATAGAATCAGAGTGAAATACACTACAATTAATATTTTATTTTTAATTTAATATTTCAAAAGTTATTTAAAATGTAACTCAAAATACCTCTTTGCATGCCACTGGAAAAAACTACTATAAAAAACTACTATAACAAACTACTATAACAAAACTACTATAACTACTA